GGGAGAGGATTGGGCCAGTGAGCCCCCAGGAAGGTCCAAGAGGAGTAAGGACTCGTCCCTGTGTCTGGTGGTCAGATAAAATGGACAGTTCTTTTCTGAGCCGCACCTCGAGTCTGGCCCCTTCTTTGCATGGGGGCCCACAGGTAGTCTCCGCAGGTCTGCACAGCCCTTCCCCAAGCTGCCCCCTGCACTGTGGGGATGGGGCAGGGGACTGTCCTCTCTGCCTGCTCATCCTGCTCTCCCTCTTGCTCCCTAACCCTGCCTGGGGCGTCCCTGAGGCTCTGGGTCTGCAGACATGAAGACCAGGAAATCATTGGTTACAGCTCTCTCTTTCCCCTACAGCCTGCTTCTCCCTTCCTCCCTGTCTACCCAGGCTCCCTACAGCACCTGCGATGATCCCGGTAAGACCCATCTACCAGCCAAGAGCAGCCTAGCAGCCCTGTGCCACAGGATCTGGGGAAGTGGGAGGGACTCCAGGAGCAGGCAGCTGCTGTCAGAATAGGTGGGAGGGGGGAGGGGGAGGGCGCAGGAGGCCTAAGGCAGTCTCCCTCTTTTTTGCAGGCCTTGGTCTTCTGGGTGATGGATGGCTCGCCCCTTCCCTGATCATTTCAAGGTGGACCCCTAAGCAGAGATGTCTGCCATTGTTCCTGTAGCAGCCAGGGAGCCGCTGAGTGAAGAGCCTACCCAGGAGAGAGAGGAAGGGCCTTTCTGGCAGAGGCCTAGAGGGGTGGGGTGGCTCAGGTCTTTCAGTCACCATAGAAAACATGGCCATGTACCTTAGGCACTGATATCTCCTAGCAACACTGTGAGGGAGAGCATCCTCCCAACTCCATGGCACTCAAGCAAGGGCCTGGGATTTGTCCTTGTTACACACAGAAGATGGGGGAGCTCAGCCTGCATTCCCCCACCCCCTGCACTCTTCTTCCTGACCTGGCAGGACACTGGGGTTGGGAGGGACTGGAGAGTTGCCAGGGCACCTAGGGAGAAAGAGAGACCTTGGGGTAGGAAGCTGGACACCTCTCTTTCCTTGGAGTGGTCTAGAAGACAGGCGGATAGTTCAGCTCATGAACAGATAAGGTTCAAGAACTTCCTGAGATGTCTCGTCCTCCCCTACCTCTCTGGTGCTTGGTCAAGGGCTCCTGAGCAGTTGTGCGATAGTGGGCTGCCACACTGGTGTTGTGCTTCGTGGGAGGCTGAGGAGCTGTGGGCTGAGACCCGTGGTGGCCCTGTTTCTCTGTCCCTGGCCTGCAGCCCCATCCCTGGCATCACATGGGGAAGTCTTATCCAGATAGGCTGAGGACAGTCTGTCCAGGAGGCCCTGCATAGATTAGAGCCTCCAGATGCCCAAGGATGGCCCAGGAGATAGTTCTGCTGCTTATCCCACACTCCCCCAGCTTCTCTGACACTGGCATGTCAAGGTCCATGCGTTGTACTCCCGACACGGAAACCTGCAGCTCCAGGGACAGAGTGGCCCAACTGCCTGCTTGGAGTCAGGGACCCAAATGACAGTCCCAGTCTGTCTCGGCTGAAGGCCACAGCTGGAAGGTGGCTGCCACATGGTCTCTGCTGACTGCCATAGCCCAGGCCTGATAGCTGTCTTGCTTCTGCCACGTTGCACTGAGTGGTCTGTGTGTGTATACACACGTGTGTGAACATGTTTGTGTTGGGAGGTACAGCTGAGGAGGACCGTCACAGGCGTTCTGCCCTCCCTGTAGAAGAAGGGCCTTGACCTACTGGGAGAAAGAGCGTGGAGTCTGAGGCCTGCCCTCGTAGACCTCCGGCTCCAGGAGAGCCCCTCCTTGCTCGTGCCCAGGCATGGGCTCTGCTGTGAGGTCAGAGGCACTGGCACTGGGCCGCACTCTGGGTCCCCTGGTGTCAGCCAGGAGATGGGCCTGGAACTAGGACTCAGCTCTGTGTTCCTGGCCCATTCTGGCCCTGAGTAGTCTGTGAGCTTCTGCTTTCCCCGCCCCCTTGGCTGCTTTTGCTCCCTCATGGTCCCTGGCTGTGTGACGGGGTCACGATGCACTTTATATACTGGCAGTCTGTATTGCAGGCAGCGGAGCTTCAAGCAATTCAGAGGCTTGACCTGGACGCACGTACCTTCCCATGTGTGATGAACCCTGCACCGCCAGCGCTGTCTGGTCACAGATGCAGTTTCTGTGTTGTCACTTGTCTCCCAACGTTAAAAGAAAACCGTTGAGTTCAGTACAGCAGATACTGCCTGGGTGCCTCCTGTTTTTCTTGGGTGCCACACCATATCCTGGGTGGGGAGGTGGGGGTGTACAGGACAGCAGGCTCCATCCAGAGCTGAGCAGGGAAACTGCAGCATCAGAGCCTCCTGCTAGACCCCCCCTTGACAGGACCACCACCCTCTGCTCCCCCTGCACCAAGTGGGGACGAGTGGAGCCAGGCCTGGAAAGTGACAGTTATTCTTTCTTGTTCAGTATTGAGAGAAAGAAGCTGAAGCTAAGGCTTCTCTTTCTTTCTAGGGTCTGGAGTCAGTATGTTTTACTTGCAGCTGGACATCAAGAGTAAGGGGAAGGAAGCAGCCCAGAGAGCCATCTGCAGGAGCAGTAAAGTCCTTACTGGCTTCAGCCTGCAGCTTGCTAGGGAGCACTGAGAAGATGAACCACCTATCCCCAAGCTGGAGCTGGATGCCTGCTTTCCTCACATGGCCTGAGCTCTGTCTTCTCAGAGCTCCATTCTGAAGAGTTAGCATAGAAGCCAGGAATCCTAGGGCTGAGGTGAGGTGGGATTTAGCCAGAAGGCAGGAGGCTCAGTGGGGCAGAGGCTGGGGGAGGTCAGACAGCAAGGCTGTGGGAGACTCCCCTGTGAGGTCTGCAGGCAGTCTGCAGGCACATGAAGGGCAACTGCTCTGGGGGAGTAGAGGAAGTTAGGAAGTATTTCTGGGAGGGTAAAGGCCTAAGGGGCAGGTCAGGAGGCTCCAGGGTGCTGCAGAGCATGATAAGAGGCTCTGCTCTGGGTACTGTAGACCTTGGGGAATATAAAGGGCTCAGGGGCAAGACAAAGATCTGAGCCCAAGAGTCCCTTGAGGGACAGTAGGAGACTAGGGAGGACTGCAGGCTGAGCGGGGAGTAGAAGGTGGGAAGCTGGCTGGGTGTAAGATTCTAGGAAGGGTGGCAACAGGCTGCTGAGAAGGTAGGTTGGGGCATGGTAGGAGGATGATGGGGGATGCAGAAGAGCCTAGAAATGGCAGGGGGATTGAGGAAAGGTTGTCTTGTGAGGAGGGCAGGGGGTCATAGAGTGGCCCTGAAGACTAGAGAGGCAGCAGGAGGCTAGAGGGGACGTCAGGGATGAGAGGGTTAGCTTTAGTAGGAAGGATGAGGAGGCGAGCCAGAGGCTCAGAGGAAGTTTGTGAGACTGAGGAAGAGGAGCAGAGGCTCAGGAACATAGTACTGCAGCCAGGAGGGAAGGACCAGAAGAGGGAATAACCCTGCTAAACAGAGCAGGCATATCTTGGGCATGTAGGATGCTGAGGGGAAAGCAGCAGGCAGAGCTAGGGGAAGCAGGCTTGGGAGGGCAGACAGCCAAGACTGAGTACCATACTGTTAGGGAAAGGTGGTGACTGGGGCGGGGCCGGGGCAAGACAGAACACTGAGAAACGTAAACTGGGGAGGGAGCCAGCACGTTCGAGGGGATGGGGAGGGCAGGTGGTTTGGGGTGCACAGCAGGCTGAAGGGGAGGGAGGTTAGGAGAGAGCATGAGATGGGGTGGGAGGACGCTGAGCAGGAACACAGCAGGGTAAGGCCAGAGGTAAGAGGCTGGGGAGGACCGCCTGGCCATTGGAAGGCAGGTGTCATGGAGGCTGCAAGGCTGAGAACAGGCAGGAAGAGGAGGGCTGGATGAAGGAGGAAAGAAGGCAGAAACTGAGGAGCAGGCCGAAAGCACACATGGAAGCCGCAAAGACGTTGGGGAGACTTGGGGGGCAGAGGTCGTGGAGAACCGAAGGCTTTAGAGAAGGACACATATTTGAGGGCACAACAAGCAGGGATATGAGCCTTGGAGGCTAGATAGGGAGGGAGGAGGGAGGGGGCAAGGCCTCAGACTGGTGAGGACAGTCAGTGAGTGGCAGAAGGGGGGTGAGGAGGGCAGGAGGTTCAGGACAAGGTCCAGGGCTTTGAGGGGATAGGTCTCCTGAGGAAGACATTAGGGCCAGAGGGAAGAGGGGCCTGTGGAGGGCAGAAGGCCCAGGCAGTGTGCAGGAGGCTAGGGAGAACTCCAGGAGTAAGGTTGGAGTCTGACCAAGGGTGGGGAGTAGGGGGAGGAGCCTGAAGGAGAGCACAAGCTGGAGAGGGAGCAGATGGGAGAAAAGTGAGATATGGCCAGAGGCTCAGGGAAGTGGAAGTGTCTAGGGGACCCAGAAGGTTGAGGACGAGGGCGGGAGGCTCAAGAGGAAATCAGAAGTGAAATGGATGCCTAAAGGAAGGTGGACAGTTATGGGAAGATAGAAGGCTTCAGGTGGGCAGAAATCTGGGGGAGGGGAGCAGAAAGCTGGAGCAAAACAGAAGGCAAGGGAGGAAATTAGGGGCATTGTCATCCAGAGATGGACAAGAGGCTGGAGGAGAAGGAGAGGTCCCAGCTGAGATCTGGAATTGTAGGAAGAGGACAGCAACAAGGACCCCCAAAGGGAGAGTACGACAGTAAAGATGGTTCCTTTAGGATAGGGAGTGGAGGAGAAAGACAAGATGCTCAAGGGATGATAGGGAAATTGGGAGCCAGGCACTAGGTGTGTGCAGGAGAGAAGTAAATGGATGAGGGCGCTTAGATCTGGAGCATCGGGAGAGTGCAGGATTCCTGAAGAAGGAAGAAGGCTGGAGATGAACTTTGAGGGCTGATGGAAGGCTAAGAGAAATCAAGATGCTGACAGGGAGGGCAGAGGCTCAGAGTGAGGCTAGGGAGCTGTGGGGTTGGGGCTTGAGCAGGAAGCAAGTATACAGAGGCGCATAAGAGTTCTGGGAGGAGAACCTGGTGCTGAGAGGGGTTGGAAAATGCAGCAGAGTTGGGGGAGAGCACAGGGAGGAAGGAAAGCTAGTCACACAGACGGGTATATCCTTGGTTCAGGCTAGGAAACTGGAGATGAGGACAAAGCCTAAGGCATGTGGTCTAATCAGAAAGGAAGGCAGGACCTAAGGATGAGGTGTGCAAGATGACCGTGGAGAAGGAATAAGGAAAAGAGATGTCAGGAGTAAGCGGTGTGGGTAGATGAGAGAAGAAGGATGGCACTGAGGAGACACAGACCTGGAGGGAGACAGCAAGGCCATAAGGAGGATAGAAGCAGGGTGAGGGTAGGTTCACAGGGAGAGACAAAGGAGGAGGGAGGGAGGGAGGGAGGTAAAGAGAAGGAGAGCAGGCTGCTGAGGGGAGTATGAAGCTGGGAGAAGAAGGAGGAAGGGTTAGAAGGCAAACAGGAATCGGTGAGGGTACCTGAGAACATTAGCTTCAGTTCCGGAGGCAGAGGCTGGTCAAGGGTTTGGGAGGAAACACAAGGGCACAGAGGTGAACAGGAAGGAGAGATGTGCATGAGGCTAAAGGGGAGGGTGGCAGTCTGGAGAGGAAGACAGTCGGCTAAAGTCAAGGGCGGTAGGAAGCTGATGGGGCAGAAAGCCTTGGGAGAGCTGAAGGGCACTAGGAGATGAACGGGGAACCAAGGGCGTCCAGGAGCTGGACAGAAGGCTGGTGTAGAGCGTAAGAGCTTCATGGTGGATGGTGGATGATAGGGAGTGACAGGACTCTGGGGAGGGGACAGGGGGTGGAGACATAGAACACTGGAGAAGAAAAGTGAGGAGTTCTAAAGATTGGGGAGGGGTCACAGACTCAGCCCAAGGGTAAGAAGTACAGGGCCACACCTGGAGGGGATAGTAGGAAGGAGACTCGGAAGTAGGATTAGGAAGGCCAGGGAGCAGGGCAGCAGACTGGAGAAACACTGCAGGAAGAAGAGCAGGGCAGAAGAATGGCAAGGACAGGAGTTGTTAGGAAGAGTTCAGGAGTCTGGGTAGAAGGACACAACTCTGGTGACAAAATAGAAAAGAGCCCGGGGGTGAGTTTGGAAGGCTATAAATGGTTTAGCATACATATGGTAGACTGAAGAGGAAGGAGAGACCATGAGGTTGAGGGCAGGCCACTGGGGAAGAATGCCAGAGAGCAGAATGTAGATAAAGAAGAGGAGAGAATGAGGCATAGCAAAAGGGTATCTTGGTCAGAGGACAGCAAAAGTTTGGGAAAGAGAAGGAAGTTCAGGGACAGGGTAGAGGCAAAGGGAAAAGGCCAGACACCGGAGCGTGGTAAGGATGCAGGTAGCTTAGAGGGGAGTTAGAAGGACAGGGAGGAAAGATGGAGTTGAGGACAAGATATCGGAGATGACAGGGACTAGGGACAAGAGACAAATGGAAATGTCAGGAGACACGGGGTGGGAATCTGTGCGTAACATGGGCAGAGTATATTAAGACTAGGGAAGACCTGGAACGATGTGAACAGTTAGCTGTGAGAGAGCAGAGGCTCTGGAAACTGAAAAGCCTGGGGAAAAGAGGTCCATGGGGAAGTCTAACGGCTGGAGAGGTACACAAAGTCTGATGGGGGAAATAGGCAATAGGCTAGCTTATGTAACACTGCATGTGAGGACATCAGCTTCCAGGAAGTCCCCAGAGACACAGGGAAGTGAATGGACTGCAGATGATATCATGAGGGATGGAGGCTGAGAAGAGGAGGGTATTAGGCTGGAGACAGCATAAGGATATTGGAGATGGGGGCATAAAAGAGAAAGGAAGGAGGGTAGGGAGAAGCAGAGGACCAGGGAAGAAATTAAGAGCATGGGGAGGTGTGGGGACACCAGACCTTGAGCAGAAACCCACTTCCCCTTCGGCCTGGGAGCAGGCATCTATATAATGTTTACTGAAAACAATTCAGTGCTTTAGGGCTCAGATAGGGCTTGCTCACTGAAATACCATGCCTTTCACACCCCCTAAGGCTAGATGCCTCTTCCTGTTTCCCTGTGGTGTCTCCCCGATTCTGGGGCTGGAGATTAGACCACCAGCCAGGAGGAAAGAATGGTATGTAGATGAATGGCAGAAGTCCTTAAAAAGGGAAGCTCCTTTTTCTTAGAGAGACTTCTTCTGAGACTTTTCTCTGCTAAGCGGACTGGGGTCTCCTCCTAAGCTGACTTGGGAAGCATAAAGTTTTCTTAAAGCAACCGACC